GGGGCTGGCGCGCTGCGGGACCCGCTCTGTGCGTTTGTGAGCGGCGCATGTGCGGCCCGCAGTCGGCCGGGGCGGCTCGTTCATCACTTGGGACGCCATCCTTTTTTTTGACTCAACACCCCCTCGGCGCAGCGCCAGCGCCGCTGCACCCCCACCCCCTCCACCCCCTGCGGCCCTCCCCGCTTTCACACCCACCGCGGCCCGTGGCTCCCGCCCCCATCCGCATGACATGTGCCGTTAAACAAGATGCGGGACGCCGAGGCCAGGGCGGTCGCCGCGGAGGAGGCCGGCGAGGAGGCGGTGGGTGCGGCGTCGCAGCAGGGTTTTGCCAGGGAGGGGGGGTCGGAGGGGCTGCTGGGCGGGAGGTGCGGCAGTGGAGCGTAGCGTATTCGTGCGCCCTGTCCCCGTTCTGTATGTCATTACCGTACTCTTGTAACCAACACTGGCGCTTCTGCATGTCACTTTTTCTGCACTCAACACTGGCGCCACGATTGTACCGCAGGCCCGCAAGACCAACGCTTACAAGAGGATCACCCAGCACTATCTCAAAAAAGGCAACGAAAGGGTGCGTGTCTCTGCTGCATGTGTCGGTTGGCCATGTTCTCAAGTGGCCTGTCATCATTCTAAACATGTAAACACATCAGACAGATGACACCGACCATCACGCAACCTTGCCCGTATGTCCAGATTGAGGCTGCGAATACGATCATCGATGCCCAGCGCGCCAAGATCAAGCGGCTGAGGGCGGAGCGGGACATGGCGCGCGACATCGTTGCCAGGGCAGCTGACCACGTCCGGGGGCTACAGGCGACGCAGGAGCGGCGGATGTACTACGACACGCCGCGGATCGTGCCGCGCCCCGGACAGCCGCCGCCGCTGCCACAGGAGCAGCAGCAGCAGCAGCAGCAGCAGCCGGGTTGCGTGTCTCAGCCGCCGCCGGCATCCTTGAAGGCGTCGAAGCCGGCGGCGGGGGATGTCCTGACACTGCATTCATTGGTGTCGCTGCTGCAGGGCCTGAGGCTGCTGCTGTGGTGGCCGGGGGACGAGGTGTGGTACAGGATGCGCGTGGGGGACGTTGCAGCAGAGGGGGGACTCACGACCGTGCGCTACGAGACAGGTGGGTCACGACGGTCGATTCCTCATGATCTGTTGGCGAATGCCATGCTCTCACACCCCCCCCCTCCTGCCCCCCCCCCACACACACATGCACGCACACATGCACGCAAACATGCACGCACGCACACATGCACGCACGCACGCACGCACACATGCACGCATGCGCGTTCATGCATGTGTATGTGCGCACGCGTGCCCACACGCAACCTCAACCCACACAGTCTTGGGCGGCCCCATCGACTCGCCAAAGCATGCTCTCCCTCCGTGAACCCAGGGGAGCAGGAGGAGCAGAAGGAGAGGCTCATCCTCCTGAGCCTTATTGAAGCTGGGCAGGTGCGTGTCTTGATGCACCACGCAGCCAACCATGATGTCCATCAACATGAACGGACACCAGAGTTGGGTTCTGACACAATCTCCTTGCAGTTGAATGAAGGGGTGTTTTGCAGGTGCAGTTTATTTGAATTGCAGCTCGACTTCATCGCCTTGCTTTGCGTGCAACATACAGACAGGCGTGTAATGTCTCTTTCACTTGCTTGTTTGCAGGTGGCGTGGGACCGCGCGCAGCTCTAGCGTTAAACACACCCTCAGCGCCATCAGCAGCTGCACATATGCGGACGGCATTGATCGCCGCGCGGCGCGCGCTCCCGCTTTCCATCATCAGTCACGAACGATCCCACCTGGCCGGCAGCTGCACGCCGATACATATCGCAGCAATACTACCCATTTTTTTGATGCATCTCTTGCTGCCAACAGTGCGTGCTGCATGGGACAGGGCGCCCTACCTTGCGAATGCATGCCCCTGTCACCAATGTACCCTGCGCAGGAGTGTATGGTACGCTTCACATGCCAGCTGGCATGCACAGCACCCTCCCCCTTGCTCTCATGTCGTATCCAATGGGCCTGGGTGCCTCCAACATGTATGACCCTGGGATGTGTAAATTCATGATCCTTTCCTACTCATCGCTGTCTGGTGCCAGACGAAGGAGGGACCGCAGCCCTCAAGTATGTGTCACCTCGGCCGCAGTTGGCCGCACAGGTTATAGATCCCTGCATGCGCCACCAGGCTCTTAGTGCGGCACCAGAATGTCTGAGAGGGAAACAAGCTGGTCAAGGCAAGATGAAATAGGACAGAATCTCGCAGCAATGCACAAACGCAGTGAGATTTGTGAGGGCATAGGCATGAGCTGGGCGTTATAAAGCAGCAGCAGGCTGTGTCAAGACAAGGCATGCCTGAGAGGAGATCATCGTCGGGTGAGTCACCTGATGAGGGCGAGGCGATTGCTGCTTCACACTCTCCCAAGGCGCCCCGCCTGCCATGCGCGCCCCTTGCTGCAGCCACACCGTGCCGTCATGGCGCGCATGAAGCACACATGCATGTGGACGTTTGTCTGTGAGTCTGATTCGTTAGTTTGCGCGTGGAGGGCTTTTTGCAGGCCGGACATTTCGGGTCTGCAGGGGTGTCCACGCATCTGAGGCGATGTTGTGTCCCCTCACCCCCCACACACACACACACACCCCTCAGGCATGGGATGAGCAAGGGGTCTTGGGTACGGTCCCTCTGACACAAGCGGGGCATCCATCTGCTGACTCATCTGCTGAATGTTGTTTGGAGCTCAACGTCGTGACCTATCTTTGGCAAGCCTGCGGCAGCTGCCCTCTCCACACCCCCCCCCACACACACACCCTGCGTGCGACGTAGCACAGTGGGCATTGGCTTGCAGGTGCACTTTTCAGGGCAACGGTAGGGACCGTCTGGCTGTCCGGCGTTGCACAGGTGGGCCATTTTTACCACAGGGGGACCAGGGGAAGAAGTCCTGCTATCCTGCTGTGTCAGGCGCGCTCCGGGCTGGAATCGGGTGTGCCTGCACGCTGCCGTTCGCTCGCTCCGCGCACACTGCCGCACGCCTTGCTGCTGTTGTGGGTCTCGACTGTGTCGGCCCCACAAATTCTTTCTATTAGAAAGCGCATGTCTCTATCAGTGTGATTAGGGGCGATTCATGCATTGACCCTTTGTGCATGCATGGGGGTGTTCCGTTTCATCAGCCCGCACTGGGCCCAGCAGAAGCTCTCAGAGAACAGCACGAAAAGCCTAGGCACGGGACCATGCCCTGGAAACAAGAGCGCCTGCAAGGCAGCATGCAGCTCGTGCCTCAGCCAGGCGCACGCCTGAGGCCTCCGCAGCCAGCGCTGCTTGCCAGCAGCCCTGAGGCACCGTTGCGCGCGGCTCAGGCGGGAGCTTCGCCAACGTGCGTGGCGCCCGGTGTCGTGCATGCCATTGGCAGTAGTAGGGCGGCGCGATGTGGGTGTTTGGGGGGACATTTTGCCTTCTGAGAACACCCTGAATATCGCGTGTGTTTGGAAAGCGGCACATGGGCTCGTTGAGTCACGGTTCCTGGCAGCTCGGCCGCATTGGTCCACTCGGGGGTCGCTTGGGCCTGCCAGCCGCCAGGATTTGTCCCGCTGGCTGCGGCGCCGGCTTGTGAGCGGTGGGATAATTTAGTGCCTGTACAGGATGATTGTAGCTCTAGCATGGCTTGTTATGGGCACCAGAGGTGCTTAAGGGCGTAGAAACATTGATTTGCTCGGCGCGGCGTGTGGGATAGCGGCACCAGCTTGCAGCCGGCAAAGTGACAGGGAAGTTTGACATAAACGCCCCGACGCGCTTACCTGCCCCATGCTGCATCCTGCCAAGCAAGATAACAGAGTTTAAATAGTGTTGTGACACACTTTGCGCTGCTGGTGAGCGGCGGCACAAGAGTTCAGGGTCCTTTTCGCGGCGGAGGCGCCTTCTTCCCACCCCATGCTCGGCGTGCGCCACTGCGTTTTGTCCATCTCCGGGGATTTCCTGCCTTCATGTAGGAGCTAAAATCAGGTTGGATTCCTCGTAACAGCTCTTGACGGGCTCGACAGCAAGTTTGAGCTTCGCCACACCCAACTGGATCTGCGTGGGTCGTAGAACGGAGCCAGACCCCCCGAAACGCAGCCTCTGCGTGCTTTCAACTGATTCTAGGTCACGTTTAGACGCCTGGCAGCTTAGGTGCGGTGGTGGCAGGCCCAGTAGTAACGCGGCCTCGACACACTTGGGTCGGGTCGCGAAGTGGCGCCGTGGCCGTGAGGCGTAGCTGCAGCGAGAGCACCGACGGAGCCTGACTGTCTTGGAACATGCTCTCAACCCTCGGTCGCAGGATAAAAGTGCGTTTAACAACAGCTGGACGGGGTGGACATGGGGACGTGCCTGAGCGCGCCGCTGCCAGCGGAAGGCGCCGCAGACTGCCGGGCTTACATAAGCGAGCGCGCGCCGCCCTCAGCCACGTGCGGCGCCGGCGACGCGGCGCCCCGCTGCCCCGACCCGCTGGCGCATCCGCAGCAGCCGCCGGGCGCCCCGCAGCGCCGGTCACTGCAGCAGGACGCACCACTGGGGGCGCTGCTGCAGGTTCAGGGCCTGCAGAATGCGCTCGCGTCTGTCAGCGAGGCGCCCGGCCTGGGGCTAGCAGAGGCCGCAGAGCTGCTGCTCGCTGAGCTGAACGTGCAGCTTGTCGCAATATACGCGTTCTGCCCGCCCTCAAACCGCGAGCCCGAGGCCGCCGTGCTGCTGGCGGCCTGCGGGGCGGGCGCCGACGCGCTGGAGCGGCGGCCTGTAGTGACAGACCCCTGGTGGAGCTGCCTGCAGCTCAAGGCGCGGCGCGAGGACAGCCTTTACGGCTGCACCCAATCTAGTGCAGCGGTGAGCCCTCAGCAGCGCGGCCGCATGTGTTCATAGGGTTCAGGTTTGGCTCCAATGCTGGAGTTGGGGCCTGATGCTCCATCCACCCATCGGGGGGCCTGTATCGGTGCCGCAAGCAGCCTGCCGCTGATTATGTTCATCCTCTTCCCGCGGGCCTGCCTCTCACGCATTCGTTCCTTTACCCGCCTGACCCCATCGCACGCGGGGATGACTACCTCCGGCAGCTTCCGCCCGACTGGCAGACGCTTGCAAAGCAGGCGGGCATGAGGGCCTTCCGCGCGGTGCCGATCGGCCCCGCCGCGGAGCCGTGCGGCGTGCTGATGCTGGCCTCAGAGGAGCGCGACTCCCTCCAGGGATCCTGGTGGGTGGCGCGTGTTGGCGGCAACCTCCGACACGACCGATGCCGAGGGTGGGGATGACGTGTCGGCGGCACCTGCCGTCCCTGTTTTCTGCGTGGCTTTGTCTGCTGCACGGTGTGCACGGTGGCAAAGCAGAGGCCAGTAAAACACGAGTGCGCTCACGTGCTCGCCCAGGTGGCGTGTGTGGCCGGGGGTGGCGGCGGTGGCGCTGGTGCACCACGTGCGCCACTGGCAGTCGGCGGCTACGTGCCGGCTGCTGCGCCGCGCCTCGCTGGCGGGCGACAGGACCACCTTTATCAGCCTGCTGCTGCAGGTGCGGGGCAGCTGCGCATGCGACAGACTCAGCGACGGAGGGCGTGCGCACACAGTCACTAGGAGATCTGACGAGCTCGTCTCCGAGTGTCACCCAACCCTGCACGCAACTTGCAAGGCAAAGCGCAGCTGCAAAAGTAGCTCCTATGTCCTGCCATGGGGCAACTCGCTTGCAGCCCCGCCATCCACGATGCTGTTGCATCAATGTTTCCACGTTCTTACGCCGCACGTCCCTCCACCCTCCACTTTGGCATCCAAACCGCCCTCAGGGTGTGCGCACCTTCATGGACAGGGCCGTCAACTCGCACACCGGCGTGCGGCTGGCTGTGCTGGACGGGCAGCGGTCCAAGGCGCTGGTCTTCGAGCTGTCCGAGGCAATAGCCTGCGGCCCCTCCAACCTAGGACCGCACGACGACAGCCTTGGCCTGAGTGGCAGCGGCCGCGGCGCAGAGGCGAGCCTGGTCGCATCTGAGATGGCCCTTGACAATACCCTGCTCGCCAGCGCCATGGCCATGGGCAAGGCGCGCTTCGTGCGCGACTGCACGGGCTACATGCAGAGCAGCGCCAGCCCCGCGCGCGACATCTTCACGCAGCCGGCGCAGCTGGTGTCGTCGCTGGTGGTGGTGCCGTTCGTGCACGACGGCGCGCAGCCGCTGGCGGCGCTGTACCTCACACTGGAGACGCCCAACGACTTCTCATCCGTGCAGGGACCCCTGCTGGTGCGCGTATGCTGAGTGACGGACGCTGTGGGTTTGGTGCAGTGCCAGGCCGCCAGGCCGCCTGCTTCCGCAACCGCTGCCACCGCGGCTGCCCTGCCAGTGCCGCTGGTGTGGCTGCTGCTGCTGCGGCTGCTGCTGCTGCTGCTGCTGCTGCTGCTTCCATTGCTGTGACAAAGCCAAGCCAATTGTCCCCTGAGCCCTTGCCTCTCACTCTGACGCTCCACCCTCAAAATCTGCTCCTCCCACTGCAAACCCCTCCGAACCCCAGGGCCTGACAAACAGCATCCTGCCGCTGCTGCACACCCAGCTGGACGGGCACATCGACGACATCTGGCGCGACGCACACGCGGTCCGCTCCCGCTCTACGCGCCTCCGCAACGCCTCCCGCCGCGCGCTCGCCCGCGACGGCGAGGCCGGGGCCGTCGTGGGCGCCAGCGTGGGCGCGGGTGCCGTGTCCTTGCGCAAGGGGCTTCTTCAGGCGGCCAGCGGGGGCGCGGCTGCAAGCGAGGGCCACTGGTCCGAGAGCGCTGCCGCCGGTAGCTACGAGCCCGCCGGCAGCTCTTGCAGCGGCGACGAAAACGATGATCCGGAGTCTGACGCGGGCAGCCCGCCGACGAGCCAACTGGCGACATACAACAGCAAGCGGCTGTGCACTGAAGCAATGGTCAAGGTGAGAGCGCTCGTTTACATCTGGACTCACAACCAGCAGGGCTGCGTTGGACCTCGCACCTCGATTTGCAAGGGGTGTAAAAGAAGCTTGTGAGCGAGCCCTGAAGCTCTGGCCGCGTTCCTGGCGCACCTGGCGCAGGGCGGCGCGACGCAACCGTACCGGTCACCTCCCTTTCCAGCCTGCCGCGTTGTTCACCCTTCCCCCACAATGTACACCTGCTCCGCGACATTTCACCTGCGCAGGCACTGGAGCAGGAGCTCCTCAAGTGCAAGCGCCTAGGCGTCGACCGGACGGCCTCCTCCAACTCCGGCGGCGGCCGCCCCGCCTCCGACAGCGGGGCCAGCTGCGGCCAGCCGGCGGGGCGCGCCGCGCCCGCGCCGCCCTGCGCCGACCTGGTGCTGCACGAGGTCATTGGGGCGGGCGGTTTCGGGGTGGTGTGGCGGGGCACCTGGAAGAACGTCACGGCGGCGGTCAAGGTGAGTAATGAGAAAATCCTGGGTCATCCCAGACACTTAAGGTTGACTTCCCGTGCGGGGGTTCAGCCGTCATCACGCTTATGAAGCGTTGCTGCCACCAACAGTGGGTCGCGACCCTCCATCTCAAATGTGGTCATGCAACTGATCTTGATGAGCCGCCGCCTCGCAGGTGATGTACCGCCGCAGCACCGAGCACGAGGCCATGAAGGATGCGGTGGAGATGGCGGTGCTGTCGGCGGCGACGCACCCCAACATTGTGCAGGTCTTCCGCTGCCTCACAGACATGGTAGAGGTCACGGGCGTGCCCGGTGAGCCCTCCTTTACCTTGTTTCTTGCATATCGCATATCCTGATTCTGCGGCTGCAGAGCGGCCTTGCCCTGAGCTTCCTAGCCTGAATGATGCCCCTCCAGGCAGCCCCACGCCGCTTCTGGCCTTTGAACCCCTCGAATCACAGTCTTTGCGTCTTCCCACGTGCTCTCTCAACCCACGTGCCTCGCCGGCGAATTCCATCAACTGCAGCGGCCAAGAGCTACGGTGACCTGCCTGCGGCCAACGCTGCGCGTGCCAAGATGGCACAGTCAGTGACCACTCTGCTGCCGCGCATCAAAGGGCACAACTTCCGGCCCCTGCAGCCGTTTGAGGATCCCGAGGAAGTTGAAACCTGCAACATCATTGTCATGGAGGTGAGTAACATGCATCCATGTTTGCATATTGTGTGTGAGCAAGTCTGTGTATATTTTGGTTGAGTGGGGGGCGCAGGGCAGCAACATGCATACACAAGCGGTATGTACGTGCTTGCGGGTGTGTGCAAGCTCCCGACGGCATGCACCCATACCCGACAAGAACACGAGACATGACTGGGGGTTCAAACACACCCCAAACAATCACCCTCAGTACTGCGACAAGGGGTCGCTCCGCGAGAACCTCCGAATGGGGGTTTTCCACCGCAGCCTCGGCGGCGGCGGCAGCTGCGGCGGCAAGGCGTCGCTGGCGGTGGACCTGCCCGCGCTGCTGTCTGTGGCGCTGTCTGTGGCCGAGGCGGTGGCGTACCTCCACAGCATCCGCCTCTGTCACTGCGACGTCAAGGTGCGAGGGATTTTGGGGTGTGCACAACACGAGGTTCAAATTGAAGCAATTCAATTGATCCCGCAGTCAGCTCGCGTCCCCTTGGGCAGCATGATGCCTGCGCCGCTGCTGCATGCGAATGGGCGCTGATGCCAGCGGCAAGCAAGGTCCGCTGCTACGTCCGCACGGGGGTGCGGATTTGCCGGCAGCAAGCCCAAAAGCCTGTCTTCCCAGGCAAGCTGTACTGGCTGCCCCCGTCCCACCGCCTTGCCCTTGTTTCCCTGCACCCCCCTCACAACCGTCCATCGATCCGCCAACCCAGTTGCGCTGCATTCACGTGCCCCCAAATTGCCTTCCTTGCATTTCAACGCAGCTGGACAACGTCCTGCTCAAGAGCTCCCCTGCCCAGCCCCGTGGCTACCTCATCAAGGTAAGGGCGATCGGTAAGATGGAACACAGCCAGGGTTGACCATTGACTGGGGTGACAATACATGCAAAGCACACCACAAGAGCGCCCTTTCAAACCACGTAGTCGCGGCACCAACAAACGCATCATGAAAAACCTCATGCACATCACGCGACCGGTTTAAACCTGTCTTGGATCATATTCAGCTGCCCAACAGCTTCCGCGCACCCACCCTGCCATGCGGTTGCTCAACCATCGCAGCTGGCGGACTTTGGCCTGGTCAAGGTGCTGGGGGCGGCAGATGCGGTGGTCAACGTCTGCGGCGCCGGCACCGTGTCCCACCTCGCCCCCGAGCTGTTCGTCCCCGGCTCCCGCATCACCACCGCGGCGGACGTCTTCTCGTTTGGTGTCCTGCTCTTTGAACTCTACATGGGCGGCGCCCACGCGTACGCGGGTGAGCGGATGCGGCAGCAGCTGCCAGGTAGCTTCTTTCGCATGACTGCCGAGGGCATGCTGGCAAGGCTCCATATTAACTCGCCTCTGCGCCCGTCCTCGATCAGTCACTTGAAAGAGATGCCCGCCCCGGCCGTCCTGGTCTTGAGAACGCCGTTGTACGCATACCGACACTCGCACTGCCGCGCCCCGCCGCCGACCGCGCCGCCCCCGCCCGCTTCCAGGGCTCCGGAAGAGCGCGATCATCGAGCGCGTCAGCCAGGCTGGCATGCGGCCGCGCTTCCCGCCGTCGGCGCCCGCTGCGTACGTGCAGCTCGCGCATGCGTGCTGGGCGGAGGCCCCGGAGCAGAGGCCGCACTTTGACGTCATCATATCGAGCCTGCAGTCGATGCTCGAGCGCGTGACGCGGCCGCGGGGCGCGGCGGCCGGGCGCGAGGACGACACCGCGATGGCGATGGCGCCCCGCCCCCGCGCATAACGGCGGGGCGACGCTGTGAGCTGCAATCCGCGGACGCCTTTCCGGCTTGAGGGGGCGTCGTCGTCCGCAAGACTGCTTGAAAATCTGTGGCCGCGGGCACACCGGCCATGTGGGCGTGTGCATTGTGTGCATCCGGCGAGCCTTCATGCATAGCCTTCTTCCTCTGATTGCGTCGGCCCTGGCGCCCGGCCATGCGTTGCCCTCCCTGCTAGGCGGCTGCCTTGTCTCAGCTGCCTGGGGCTTAAAGTTGGGGGCGGCCCGCGCGTTGTTGCGACTGAAGAACTGCCTTAGTAGCCTCCTGGGATTCTTTGTCACCTGCGGGACCGGTGACGCCGCCGCCGGTCCCAAGAGCACGCCGTCCACGCTGGCGGCTCGCACGGGCCCGCCGCGCGCCGACGGCGGCGGATACGAACTGATTTCCCCCAGCGCCCTGCTGCCTGCCTTGAAGCATATGCGCCCAGCAGGCCTGCTTCCCCTTTGCACGATGCCCGCCTAGGCACGCATATGCACACGGCTGGTCGGCCTGCGTGGACAGTCCATGCTGGGGGCATGCTGGACTGGCGGCAAACCAACACTCTAGAGACGTCTCCTGGCCTGCCGAGGACGCGGCCGCCTTCGCCCCAGGACTTAATTCCTGGGGCAGCGGGCGGCAGGGAACTTGGGCACACACGGCACTTCTGGCGGTCTGGGCTTTGTGCATGCACGCGCGCGTGCAGGTGGCGTGCCGCGTGCGTGCATGCGTCGCTGTCGCGCACGCTCTGTTTGGCCCGCCATATCGCATTTGCCTCGATCATCCATCATCTAGCCTTGGTCGTTGCTGGGGTTGTGTCTGATGCCTTCCTGCAAATTTGCAGACTCCTGGTGTGTCAGGATTACCACGCGCCTTGCGTGTGTGCTTGCCTGTGGCGGCACGGTTCTCTTTTGATCGCTGCACAGCAGTCACGGCGGCTGCGACTTTGCAAGCGCCGCACCGCCGAAGGCGCAGTGTCGCACCAAGCGCTTGTTGACAACCGCATGCGGCCGCGCACACTTGGGAACGGTCTGGTGCACAACACTGTGGCGCTGCGCCGAAGCTGATTCGCCACACCTGATGGAGAATCGTGGATGGCTGGGCCGGCCTGAGCGCACGCACTGCCGGCGCGCCGTCCCCGACCCCAAAGAAAGGCTAGGCTACCACGCACCCCACGCCACATGGTGACCTGCGACGGCCTTTAGGTTTTGCATGGGGGCGCTCCCTAAACGTCTGCTCTCCCTGTCAATAACGCAAAAAACCCTATTCGATCCCAACGCATGCCTGATCGGCGCTTGACGCGCCACCCTTCCAATCCGAGCAAAGCACCTCCACTCCGAGCGCTGAGGACGCGGGCCGCCCGCAAGTGGGCGTGGCGGCTTGCCGTCTGTTGCACACTCGCGGGTGCTGCCCCGCACAAACCCCTTCCCAACCCCGTTCGCTCGTTTGACCCCTTTGACCCCACCTGACCGTTTTACCAGCACCTTTCTGCCCTAGACTTGTCGTGGGGCGGCAGCTTCCGCTGCCGGTGATCTGGTGCGCCCACCCTGATCTAACTTGTGATCTACTCCCCGTGGTCCGCGCTGCCCACCTTGCCCATTCAAACGCGCCTCAGGGCTCACATGCACCCACCCCTCCACACAGACACCCGTGCATCCCCCCACGTGCACTTGACATGGGCGCGGGCGCTGCGCCGCCGCGCATGCAAACTCACTACCCAAAGAAAACCAGCACCGCTCTATGACACTCCCGCTGCCTCGCCCCTGATCCATTGATGCCCCCACAATCCACCACGCGCGCCGCGCGCTGGTCGTCTCCCGCGCCGACTGGCAGCGCGGCGCCGGGCTCGTCTCGTGTAGATGCGCCGCGCCGCGCCGCGTCTGTCCGCCTCTTTGCGCCGCCCCGCGACCGCGCGCCCCCGCTCGCACCCGCCGCTGCCCGCATTTAGCCCTTGTCCCCGCGCCGCCCCTTAGTGCCCCGCGCGAGGGGCGCGTCGCACCCTTGAGAACCCGGCACACGCACTGTGAGGTTGGCCTGCCCAGGGGCGCTTGCACTCAAACCCGCTCCGGCGGCCACGTCGCACCCGCAGCACCCCGCCCGCGGGCACCGGGCCGCTGGGGCGCGGCCGCGCGGCACATGCGTGTGCGGCCCCTAAAATTGTCCAAGTCGGCGCGTGTGCTCACATGCGCTTGCCATGCGCAGCAGCATCCCATAATAAAGTTGCCTGCCCCTACTTTTTGGTGATCCGTCCCGAGATCGGGCGGCGGCCCACGCCTCCCTACGCACGTGCAGGGGGGAAGCGGCCCTTCTCGCCGGCCCCACCTGCCTGCGCGACATATGGCGCGCGCCCCTGCGCTGCTGGTACTTCTTATGCATGCACTGCTTCTGACAGCGTCACGGCCACACCCACACGCACTCAAGGAGCTCATGGGGTCCATTTTTTCAGGTGAAAAGCTGTCAACTCCCGAAACTGCCCGCACACCTCCAACCAAGCTTACTCACAGGCGGCCGGCCGGCACCTTTGCCGCCGCCAGAGGCGCGCTTGTGTATGAGTCGTTGTGCAATCACGCTGCCTCATGTAATACCGAAACATCCTTGCCTGTTAGTATGGTCTACCATGCACGCTGCCAGAGCCGCGCATACAAAAGGACTGCAGGGCGTGTAACCGCGACTGGTGCATGTCGCTGTTGCCAACACCATGGCATGACGAACGCCCAGACGCGAGCGCGACGAGCGAGCGGGCAGGCGATCGCGGCAGAGGCGCCGCCGCCCCAGGCATCATCCCCTCCTCAAAACACGCTTCCTTCGCCGTCGCTGCTAGCGTCGCCGCCGCCGCGCTGTGGGGCCAGCCCGCGCATCGCAGCCGCAAACGCCTCCATCTCGTCCCCGCTGTCGCCCGCGTCGCTGCCGCCGCCGCTGCAGGACCCGCCGCCCTCGCTGCCGCCCGCGCCGCCGCCGGCATCGGCGGCCGCCGCAGGGAAGCCGCCGCCCGTGCCCGCGCCGCCGCTGCCGCCGCGGGCGGCCGCGCCTGCTGCAGAGCCCCCGAAACTGCTGCCAGGCGACTGCAGGCCGCCCATATGCGTGGCCGGCGGCGCGCCCCCACGGCCGCCCTCGCCGCCGGCGCGAGGGGTGAATTGTGCCGCCACTGCCGCGTGCGCCTCGGCGCTGCCTGCGGCTGCGGCATTGCTGGCTTCCTTGCCCGGAAAGTGCACGCCCGCTCCCACCATCCGAGCACTGCTGTCTCTGCCCCTTGGCTCTATCATGCCGCCCACGCCGTCAAGTTGGGCAGAGGCCTCTTCCTCCTTCTCCTCCTCTTCCTCCTCCTCCTTGTCCTCCGCCGCGCCTTGTTGGGCCACTGACTCCTCAGCATCGCCAAAAGACTCTGGCCCAGCTATCCTTGAGGTTAACCCCTCCTCCTCCTCCTCATCCCCGCTGCCTCTGCCACTGCCCCGCCCGCCAATGCCGCCGTGCCTGCTCATGCGACTGCCACTGCTTCCGCCGTCGCCGCTCATGGCGCCGCCCGCACGGATGCCGGCCCGAACGCTCCTGCTGCTGCTGCTGCTGCTGCTGCTGCCGCCGCTGCTGACGTTGCCGTCACTGCCAACCTCGGGCCCTACCATCTCTTCAAGGCTCAGCTGCTCCCCTCTGCTTGGCCGCTGGTGCCCTGCCTGCTGCTGGTGCTGCTGTCGCTGCCCATGGTGCTGCTGCTCCTGGTGCGGCTGCTGTTGCTGCTGCTGCCACTGCTGCTCCTCGTGGTTTTTGAACCCAGCTGCCTCATCCTTGGATGCCTCGATTGGCGTCCAAGGGCGCGAGTCATCCGATGGGGGCGCACGCAACAGCTGTTGCGCCCGCGGCTGCTGCGGTGCCGCGTCCCGCTCGGCCAAGCCGCCGCTTCTCGGCTGCTGCGGCTCCTGCTGCTGCCAGTGCTGCCGCTGCGGCCCCGAATGCAGACCCCGCGGCGAGCCCGCCGCCGCCTCCTCGCGCCCCGCGTCAAAGTCGGCCACCGCCGCCGCGCGCCGCAGCTGCAGCGCCCGCAGCGCCGCGTCGTCGCCCGCGGCGGCCGCGGCGCCTGCGGGCGGACCAGACGCCCGAAAGGTGTGATAGCTGGCGTCGGCCGTGAGTGTTGCATACCCTACGCGGTAGTCTGCAGGGGCCGCCACGCCAAAGTCAGGCGGCAGCCCCAGGGGCCCTGCAGCGCCGGCACCGGCGCCGCTGCCGTAGCGCGGCAGGCAGCCTTGGAGGGTCTCGAGCTCCGCCGCCGCCGCGCGGCGCTGGGCCCCGGCGCGGCGGCGGAAGTCGGACAGCTGCGCCTCAACGGCGTCGCCTTGATCTGCGAGGACCCTGAGCCTGTGCGTCGGGCTGGTGGCGCCGCCGCCGCGGCGGCCGGCCGCTTGCGAGCCCTCCCACGGGGCCAGTTGCATGCCCCAGCGCCCGCGGGGGCTGGCGCCGAGGTAGCTGCCGCCGCCAAACCC